TCCCGGCAAATTATTCCAGAGGTAAACCTACCGACTCTGACCAACCTCTGAAAATTTATGAGGGATCCTCTTTCTCGATTTGTTATTATTATTTTCGTCGACAATCTCGTCGTTGGATCGATAGTGGAAAAATAATATTATCCCCCGTGACGCGATGCTTTTCTTACGCTCGTTATGAATTCTACCGATGACGAAAGTATCCACGTTACTAATCGAAGAAGTTATAGAAGATCTGGAGGACAATTTCGGCGATCCAAAAAAATCCATAGGAAGAGTAACGGTGAAGGGAGAGGAATCGCAAGTGAAAGAAGCAAATGCAATTTTTCTCTTCATCAAAAAAAAAAGAAAAAAGAAAAAGAAAAAAAAAGTTTCGCCAATGAAAGAAGAGGCAAAGATTTAAACGAGGATTTGTGGCGATAATATTTTCATTTTCCTTGAATTCTGGACCAAAGTGGCCCGAAGATAGATATCAACTATTTCCACCCTCTCCTGAGAGTACTTGTCAAGGGCGGTGTCAGCCTGTGGTTAGCCAACGATCGCTTCGTGACTCCTACCAACCGACTGCTCTGGACATTTCCTTCCAATTTCTACTACTTTCATGGACACTGTCCAACCTGGATCGACCTAGATGGAGAATGATCGATTTAACTCGATCGATTCAGACTAGGTCGGTTTTGACGACTCGATGGAAGGAAAAGAGGGCGGTTAACTTGGTCGAATCGTCGGGAAGATTCGAATGAAATGGCAGAGACGTGGATCGTGGATAAGCAACGAGCCTTTGGAACCGGCCCTCCCCACCCCTCCTCGAATACGTCCGGTAATTGCGTTCGTGTGTAGCCAGGAAGTTTTATTCGGCTGGCATTTATTCGGCAACGAAGAGACAGCGGCCCACTTAGAAGGAGAGACAAATGTATTTACGTCGTGAATCTGCCAGGAAACCCGCATCCACCTTTCAAGCTTACCCCGTTTATCCAGGGATTCTCGTAAAATTACGGGGAAGCTTTTGCGACTGGTAAATTTCGACCGTAAAAAAAAAAAGAAAAAGAAAAAAAAAAGAAGAAAAAGAGAAAAAAAGAAATAAAAAAAGAAGGGAACAAAAAGGCAAAGCAGGAATAGATGTGCACGGGGTACGAGCCTGTGACTTTTTCCTCTCGTCTTCGAATCCGTGTTCGAATCCGCGAGGGACAACTTGGGACGTGGGAGAAGATTAGACAGACGGAAGCCTTCGTCGCGATCGATCGCAGGCATTGTTCGTTCCTCGATCCCCGAGAAGAGGATCCTCTCGCGACTTCTCAGGGGCGAATGAGTTGACACCGCGATCACAACGGGGTTGGATCGTGGACGGGTATGACAGGGGGTGGGGGCGGGCGGCAAGCCGCGTAAACGAACATGTACGTGTAAACGTTGCCTCGATAATAGATTCCCCATTTGGAGTTGGGAGAGTTGTACGGTGAATCTGTAACTCCGGCGATCAAACTGCTTGCAAAGTTTGTCGCTCGAATCGAATGGGAGTTTGGGTAACTCGTACCTAGCCTGCCTCTTCAACGCGGCTATGTACGTACATGCCACGTATGTACACGTATGCCTTTATTCTCTTTCTCTCTCTTTCTCTCCATCTCTTCTTCTCCACCACGGTTCACTGTCTCTTCGTCGCGTCACGTGTGTGTACATACACGCGCACACGTCTCGTGGAGGCTCTAGTCGAATCGACTGCTCCGCGTGTTCTCTTTCCCCCTCTCCTTCGCGCATTGTCGATGCCACGATAATGCAAAGTATACTTTTTTTTTCTCTCTCTCTCTCTCCTTCCGACTCGAGCCTCCACTCGTTTCTGGTCTTGGTCGTCGGTGGCTGCGTGTAACGTTAGAACGTCTCTTCCCTCTCCTCTCCCCTCGTATGTATCGTAAACACGGTATACACGAGCTGCTTCGTCGACGAACGAGCGCTTTCTCTTCGAGAAGTCTTCTTCTTTTTCTTTTTCTTCTTTTTCTTTATGGTACAGGCGAATCGCGATAATATAGAGGAAACGAGGCAAGGAAATCGCTGTTATACGCTATTTGTTCGACCACTTTGTCGCGTGCATATTTTTTTTATTTTAACCTGCGATAATTTTTCGTTTGCCGGGTTGGGGATATTGAGTATCCTTTTGCTCTTTTAAAACGCGATCTTTCTCTCTCTCTCTCTCTTGGGATGGCCGCGTTTAAAGGGACATCGTTGTCGCGACAAAAAACTGTAATGGGAGTTAGCGTTGGAGAAACACTTATGAACTGCGCGAAAAAACTGTGCGAATAATAATAATAAGTATCTTTCGAACGCGTTTTGAACTCGTGCCTTCCGACGAAACGATATCGCGAGAATTTTTCCAAATATTTTTCAACATCGTAGATAGAAAGAAAATTTGCAACGAAATTCCGTTCCGTTCGTTACCGGGTACACCGCAACAACTCGATGTATCCTACGGCGATTTTGCGCTTTGCGCGTGTATAAAAATAACGTAACGATTCTTTTTTTTTTTTTTTTCTCCCATTCTCTTTTTTCCACCTCTTTTTTTTTTTTTCCTTTCTTTTCTTTCATCTTGCAGGAATGATAAAAAGCGTCACGATTCGACGAATGTTGATTCTACCCGTCTAAAATTTTTCCTCGTTCAACTCGTTTAATCGTATTATACCGTCGAATTGTTTCGCTTATTGTTGCTTTTTTGTCAACCGACGATAGCCGGTTATCGAATTATAATCCGATAGACCGGAGACCGATTTATCCGATAAAACTTTATCGCTCGAAAAATGTATTTCATGAATTCGTTTCATAATAAATTTGCCGAATTTATTTTCCAAATTTATTCTTTTATCTCTTATCGTCCCGCGGTGTTGCGGGAGGGAGGGGGAAGGAGGGAGGGGATTGGTTTGCCGGTATAACCCGCCTGTATACACATGACTTTGGGGGGATGACTTTGATACCGAGCGATGCGGCAGGAAAAGCGATCAACCGTGAAAGTATTTTCGAGCTGTTGCCCCGGCATCCGATGCCGAGCGAGACCGTTGCTTCCTGGCGCTACGAATATTTTAACACCTGCGAGCGGATTTCATCCCCGCATCATCTTCCTCTCCCCCTTTCCCTTCCCTCCCCTCCTCATATATATATATATATATATATATATATACACACCAGCTTTTCCCTACGGATTTAACACTGAAGAGCACTTATCGCTCTCTTGCACTCTCCACTCCTCCTCAGTCGCGCAACTAAATCGTCCCGCTCGAGTTCGACTTCTGGCGAGGTGTGTGACTCCTCTCGCCCTCCCCTCTCCACTGTTTCCCTTCCTCCCTGCTGACTCTCTCTCTCTCGCCTCCGATCTCTTGCCTCCGAGGATCTCGAGGGTTCGCCTCGCTCGAGGATCGTCTAACGGACCGTGGCGCGGACGGGTCTGGGGAAATGCGGTTCGAATTCCAGCGAGGATGGAAGCGCGCAGTAGTAGCGCGATAATAACCGATAGCAAAGTCCATTATGACGCGTTTAAGGATTTACACGGGGTGGAGGAGGGGAGGGGGGATTATCGATGGCGGAGGTGGAGGAAAAACGATGGAACGTATATCGAATCGAATCCTTCGTCGCATCCTCCTTCCCTGGGGTCCTGAGGGGCCTCCTCTCGTTCTTCTCGCCAGATTTACCTCGTTCTCTTCGAATCACCATCCCCACCACTACCCCTTATTCTCCAATCTCACCCGTGCTCCCGCAAAGGATTCAAAAGAGATTGAAAAAGATTTGCGCTCGTCCCACCGCTAAGAAGGTGCACCGCGTGGGTGGAGAAGGGTAGGGAAAGAGGGGAGGAGGATCGAAAGAAGGAGTAACGAAGGGGTGGCGGAGGTTAAGAGCCTCGCAGAAGATCTCGCAAAGGTACTTTTCGCGTTTTACTTTCCCCAAAGATGGAATAACTTTAAACGTTAAAGTGATAGGGAGGGTTAATTTCGAGAGGGGGTTGAGAACGACATATTACGGGTGGGGGAAGGAAAAAAAAAAGAAACTAGTCGCTCGCAAGAGTGTATCGCGATATCGTTGGACGTTGTCCCGGAATAACCCGGCTAATCTGCATTATAAAACACTTGTTGGTGTGTCGCGGCGCTGCAGCTGCGTCTAAAACGTATATACAAGGTGCAACGTTGGAGCGCATCTTCCGCAGTTCTTTAAATAAGAATCGTTACCCGGTACCGCAAGGGGAGAGTTTTAATTATAGAATAGCGTATCGGAAGGATCCGTTTCCTCCCTCTTATCGCTCTCGATACATTTTTCTCGCATTGACCGATTTCAATCTCGATTGCTTTTTCGAAAAATTTAATCGACGAAAAAGGAGAAAAAACGAGCATTCGAGAGAAAACTCGACAATCGGTATCGAATTTCGCCGAAAGATTCGCTCGACCGTTCACGGCGAAGCGGAATTAATTTAAAAAAATCGGTGGACGTGTATGATAATCTGGACAGATTCGGGGCGATCGAGTGCCACCACCTATCCGCGATATTTGCCGGGGTGTCGAGTATCGGGAATATCGAAAAATCGATATTTAGCGGGGCATCGGTCCTCCATAAATCACGCGAATTCGCACGCGTGCACGCGCTCCCCGAAATATCCACCCGCCTCGTCTCGTCTCGTCTCGTCTTCGTCTTCCTCCCTCCCGTGAAACCCATCTGCGGTGATTCGATCGGATCGAACTTGCCAACGATTCTCTGTCCACAATCTCGGTATCTTCCGCCCCGCATCGTCGAGCGACGACGCTGCGTGGACGACTCGGCAGTCGACACGACGCTTTCCCCCGGAACGGCAGATTCCAATTTAGATCGGTCGCGGTCGGTATCGGGTAAGATGTGGCTCGACTGGTGGTCGGCCAGCCGTGACCAGTGTCATCGGAAAACTGGAAAGGGGGAGAGGATCGGTATATACAAATAAGCTGACGGAAATTAAGGATCACCGGCGTCAGAAAATGCAGCAATCAGAACTCGATGCTGGAGAAATAAAAGGAATAAAATATTCGGGGGGAGATAGTGCCGTCTTTTCCAACGATAGCGCACATGTACTCGTGTCGTGTTTCTCGCTTCGTACGTACGTCGCTGGATTATTCCATCAAAGAAGATGAAAAATTTTCAGGAACGCGTTACAAGGTGGGACGTGTTGTTTCACGGGGATACGGGGGAGAATTATTATCGAGCGAGCGAGAGGCCGAAGGTAATTTGAGAGAAAGCATTTCACCCGGCCAATCCTATCGCGCGTACGTCTCATCAGTCTGTTTATGGCGCGGGATGCGCAATATATCTTCCGGTTTAATCTCCCGCCTTTCTTGCATATCCTTTCTCCCCTCTGCCCTCCCCTCTCGCTCTTTGCCGGGGATTAATCTTTTTTCTTTTCTCCGTCGCAACGCGGACGATCGTGACCGGGAGCGAGACGAGACGCAATGATAGCACGGAAACGTGCTCACCTCTCTCTCTCTCTCTCTCTCTCTCTCTCGCGTTATTATGGCGTTCGAGCGAGGGGGAGTAGGTATAAATCGAAACGAATTACGCGTAATAAAATGACGATCGTTAAAAATAATGAAAGAAGGCGCGGATAAAATATGGCGCGGTGGTGTACGCGGAGAGGGAAAGATCTGTGAAGAGAGAGAGGGAGAAGAATCACGGGGAAAAAAATTCGGGCATCGACGAATAGGGTGTGTACGCCGTGAAAGAGAGGAAAGGGAGGGGGAGGGGGAGAGGGAGGTGAAAG